GGCAGACAAATCAATTTAGACTAGACCTTGATCCTCAATCAGCAAGCTAAATGACACACCCACAGTTCCAAGGCACAATCAAAAGACAAAAAGTGGGCAGTGGCCCAACCTCTGGAGATCTCCGCCCCTTTGCCCAAATAGTTGGAATAATTCTCCCACTTATTAGCCTTTGAAATTACCCAGCCCATAAAAACTAACCACACCACATTTTGGGGCTGCCAGAGTCTCCCTCTGAGCTGGCCTAAACTCTGTCTTTGGAGTGTGTTTCTCTCTAAAAAAATCCACTTCTTAGCTATCTTGTTGTCTCTCACTGAATTCTTTCTGCGATGATACATCAAGAACCTGAACTTCATTAGGTCCTCAAACCAGGTACCGTGGGTTTTGGCTGGGTTTGAGTCCCAGCCATGTGAGTTAAAGTCCCAAGCAGGGTTTTGGCTAGGTTCAGGTCCCAGACACATGGGTTAGAGTCCCAAATTGGGTTTTGGCTAGCTTCGAGTTCCAGCCATGTGTGTTCAAGTCCCCGTTGAAGGTAAACAGTTTCACAGCTGTAAGTTATTTCCATTAATATTTCTTTCACTGTGGCAGAAATTTATGGAGAGTTGTCCAAGTGTTGCAAAGTTATAGAATTGTTCAAGTGTTGCACAACATCTGGGGAAAAGATCCAAAGGAAAGAAGTCTCGTGGTGTGGGTGGGGACATGGCCAGTTCTTAGAAACAGTCTTGTGGGGATTCACAGTTGGATCCTGCCCTGAGTGTGGTTCTTATTAATACATTGGTGTTTTTCATTTTGAGTGAGACTTGAGCCTTAAGTGGACTTTGGCAGTTCCAGTTGTTAATATCAGAGCCTCCAAGATTGGACAGAACTTTTCAGATCTGAGCTCCCATTGTTTGCTGAATAACCCGAAGGCAGGCAGCAGGGAGGCTATGTACAGTTTTCCATACAAATGAGGCAAAAACAACTACCCTTTGTTACCAGCTGCAAGCTGCAACAAAAACATCTCCATTATCTCCCTTGGTATTACAAGTCACATCAGGCCCTAATGGGGTGAAAATGTATTGAATTTCTTTGGGTAGAAATTTTCCCCAAGATTTCCCTAGTAGCTAGTTGCGTTGCTTAACTGCAGAAATATGTAAATCTTGTTGCTATTTTCTGTGATCCCATAGAGAAGACAGTGTTCACTGTAGGCCTATTCTCACCAAACCATACCGACTTTCAGATCAAACCCAAATTTTTTCTTATGAATCAGTAAGGGTCAGAACTCAAAATTAAGATGTGATTGGTTATGAAGATAAAAAAGAAAGTTTCAATTCTTTCACATCTGAGTTGTGGCATGAAAGTTTAACCTATCCTTCACATATGTCTGATATTGAAATTCAGTGTAAAGTACCCAATATCAGACCTTTTGTGTTTTCAAAGCAAACATTCATTGGCATAAATCAGAGTTTTCATTTTGAATGGGAGTCACATTATGACCAGCATGCCCTTTGTATCCTGTCCTTTTCTCCCCTGTAACCTGGATAGTGTTTTGGTCACCAGTATTTTGGTTGTTATAGCCACGTGTTCTGGGAAACAAACTCACTCAAAAGGACAGTGCAGATAGTGGAGTGCAGTTTATTATACCCACAGACCTAAGGCAGAGTCTCCTCTTAGCCAGGGACCCTGACCAGTATTTGTGAAAATCTTTTATACCCCATGTGTACATGTCCGAACCCACCACCCCAAATTCCTTGAGATTTACATAAACAACTTAAGGGTAAATATAATCACAATAACCCCATCATTCATGTGTTATGTGTCCAAACAGTTAATAGTCAATAAGCCCGCGGTTACATTCCACCCAGTTAATAATCAATAAGTCTGTGGTTACATTCCGATAGATACAGAAAAAATTTATGACCTGTCCGGAGGTAAGGGTGATTAGAGTATGTTTTCTCTTAGGTGATGAGTAACCTGGGTATGATCTTCAAGGTTCCCCTGTCCAGGGGGGGTCTTATCCTTCTGTGTCGTTCCCACAGACACTAAACACAGAGTTCAGAGTCCATTGGAGAGGTGGCCGAGCATGGTCAGCATGAACAGGCCTGAGATGGTGTCCACGCCCTATGAATTCGTTCTTCATTCCCCCCTCTTCATGCTCTTAGTTTCCGTAATGAGCATCATTCATTGAGATATATATTGTACCCTAGTCCTCTGGCCACCCACGTGAGAGAACGCTCTCAACCTTTGGGTTACAAAATTCACAAGGCATTGTAAGAAGCAGGGCCCACAAGGCAGTATGATTAAGATTACTATAACAACAGTTACAATGGTTTTCCACCAGTCTCCCTTTCCCCAGGACAGGACCAAAGTCCAAAAGGGGATATTTTCATTATACATGTCTTTCAATTGATTCTGCATATCCTCCAAGGCAGTAGATACATTTCCAGACAAGTCAGGGATGTATACACAACATTCGATTTTAATTATGGTGCAAGTCCCCACTTGGGCTGCTGCGAGTATGTCTAATGCCATCCTATTTTGAATTACTACCTTCCTCATCTGAATTTGTTCTTCGTTCAAAGCTTGAATGGCCTTTGTTCTATCTAGGAGGGCCTGTTTTGTGAAATTAGTCAAGGCCTCTAATTTAATCATAAAATCTGTTGTCCCTATAGAGGGTACAAATAAGGCAGCAATATATTCATACCGTTGAAACACAGATCTTGTCCACCTAGCATGTAAATAAGGTAGATTTACTGGGGCTTGTTGTAGGTTAGGCTTTTGTTACACTGGCATTTATATCAAATGTAACCCCATGACCCAAGTCTATTGACTGTAGGTCTTACACCAAGAGAGCAAGGAAAGGTTATGATTGACAAGAGAGAGGAAAGTCTTTTTGTCATCCCAGAAAAGAGCAGAGTGGTTTAAAATCTCCTTGACAGAGCAGTGACACCCACCAAGAAAGTTCATCTGTCACTGACAGAGGCATAGTCCCACATATCCAGCAGCTGGAGGTGTTGTGGAAGTCTGCATAGGAATGTGCCCATGAGATGAAAACATTGTCCTGAGTTGAATCGGAAGTTAAATTCAAAATCACGTTGATGAGGCCAAGCAGCAGGAGTTGATTGTTCGGCTTCATCCTGAAGGGGCTTGTCCGGGATTTTCTGTTCCTTCTTCTTAAGGATAGTCTTAGTCTCTCAAGGGTTAGTGGGCTCCCTTTGTGCAGTCCACTCAGTCTGTGTGGTATATTCTCTTCACCCTCATATGATGGATCCAAGAGGCAATACCTGCAACTTTAACTGAAGTAGGGGTAGTTATAATAACAGTATAAGGGCCCATCCACCAAGGGGCTAGTATATCAAGTTTCCAATCTTTGACCCATACTTGGTCACCAAGAGTAAGCTGATGAATCTGTTCCCCAAGGGGGGATGGCACCCTTTCTTGTACAAACTTAGTTAGCCGATTTATTACATTACCCAGTTCCATCTGCTGTGAAATCCTATCCCCCCTTACCTGAGGCAAATTTTTTGACACCTGTTTTATTATGGGAGGGGCCTCCCATACACAATTTCGTATGGAGAATAGCCTTGGGACAGTGGGGTCATCCTGAGTCTGAGCAGAGCCATTGGAAGCAAGTCCACCCAGGAGCATTCAGTCTCTATGATCTACTTGGAGAGTTTCTTTAAGTGTTTGGTTGGTTCATTCCACCATCTCAGAACTCTGGGCCTATATGCAGTGTGCAGTTTCCATTTGATGTTTAAAGTTTTGCTTACTTGTTGCACTAAATCAGCTACAAAAGCCGGGCCATTGTCTGAACCAGTGCTGGTAGGAAGTCCAAATCTGGGAACTATTTCCCTAAGCAGGCACTGGGCTACTTCTGATTGTCTTTCAGTCCAGGTAGGAAAAGCTTCTACCCAAACCGAGAACGTACATACCATGACCAGCAGGTAACAGTAGTGTCGGTGAGGTTTCATTTCAGTGAAGTCCACTCCCAAGTGTTCAAAGGGCAGCATGCCTTTCAGCTGAATACCCAGAGGTTTTTGTCTGAATATCCGAGAGGCAGCATTAACCTGTGAGCAGGAAGCATGGCCTAGGTGGGTGGCTTGGTGTGTTTGGCTTACCAGATTGTGTGCCAGCTTCTCCAGTACCAATAATTTGCCACTTGGCATTTCCCACCATTCCCTTTCAGCCTTGATGGCCCCTTCCGCTTTGGCTAACCTGACAGCTATTGTCCTTGTTTTATCAGACTAGTGCCATCAGTATATAGGACCCAATTAGGGTCTGGAACCTTGTGTCCTTCTTAAAACAAACCCCAGATACCTTACCTCCTCCTTGCAGATCTGTGCCTTCTTCTTTGACACCCGGTAACCTGCTTCCATCAGCAGCTGGAGCAGTGCTTTGGTCCCTTTCCAGCATTTTCCTTGGTATCGGCAGCCAGCAGCAGGTCATCTCTGTATTGTAGGAGCCAACATCCATACTCTTCCGGACGGAATGAGTTCAGGTCAGAAGCCAAGGCTTTCCCAAAGATGGCTGGGGTGTTCTTAAACCCTTGTGGGGGAGTCCAGATGAGCTGTTGTTTGGTGCCCCTGACTGGATCTTCTCATTCAAAGGCAAAGATGGGCTGTGATGCTGGGTCGAGGCGTGTGCAGAAGAAGGCATCCTTGAGATCCAGGCGAGTATAAACTTTAGTCCTCAGTGGGAGGAGGCTAAGTAAGGTATAGGGGTTTGGAACAGTGGGGTGTAAAGTCATAGTAGCCTGGTTGACTAGCCTGAGATCTTTAATAGGCCTATAGTCCTGTCCTCCTTCCTTTTTGACTGGCAGGATCAGTGTATTCCAAGGTGACTGGCACTCTACCACAATGTCCTTGTTTCAATCTATTGATGTGGGGCAGTATGCCAGCCCAGGCCTCTATTGGTAGCGGGTACTAGTGCTTTCTAACCGGGATGGTGCCTGGTTTTTCTATGATCACTGAGGCTTGATGTTTAGCCAGCCTGGGGGGAGGAGGGGGTTGTCTTCCTCCCAGACCTCAGGAAATAATTGTTCTCTTTCCTTCCCTCTGGCTCTCTGGCAGAACGCAGTCTCTGCTTAATTCCAACGTCTCCCTCCCCTTCTTGTCAGTACTCACCGGGAGAGGTGGGTATAGCTTGGGCGGTTCAGCTGGAGCCGGATCCTGGAAGTGTTGGCCAGAGGCTTCTGTCACTGGGATCAGAGCCTGCCAAAACGGCGGCTCTACGACCTCCAGGAGAGCTGGCGGAAGAGCAGTGGCTGCTGCAGGAACTTCACCTGGCCCTGGATCGGTCATTAAGATGGCCTCTGGTCCTGGTGGAGCACTGGGAGGCAGGTGCATCATTATCTATTGTGGGGGAGGGGTCAGGTCATCCCCGTCCAAATCCTGTAGAATTTCCTTTTTTTATCATCAGTCAATTTTTGTGCCATTAATATTTTTCCTTTTCCCTTCTGGATACAGAACCTTGTCCAAGTAGGAGGGTTTTGAGTTAACCCTAGCCATGAGTCAATATATGGCTATTGATCCAGGTGTCCTGGCTCTCCTGGGACTACCGTATAGACTGCTTCCACTATTTTTAAGTTCATGGTGTTCTCTGGCGGCCATCCTACTCGCATAGGGGGCCATTCAACCTCACAGAGTATGGGGAGGCGGTTAGGTTTCATCTTCATCTTCATTAGGCGGATAGTCTCCTCCTAATCCCTATCATGCACTCCAATACAGTTGCCTTAGATTCACTTCCCCCCATCTTGCTTACCTTCTCGGACCTTCTTCTACTTTTTCTTTTCATTCTGTCTACGAAGTTCTCAGTACCATATGTACTTCTGATATTTCCACTCAGTGACACTTAAATTGCGATTCTGCCTCCTTCCTAATTGGGGTAAGAAGAGCCTTACCTGCCAGATCCCAGAGGGAGAAGGGGGATCAGCGTGTCTTCACCTGCCAGTCAGCACAGCTGAACCAGAACACCATGTGGTCCAAGACTGTTTCTCCCTTAAAGTCCGTTCTGCCTTGGCGGGCTTGATCAGGTGCGGATGAAAACCCAAATGGGTTAAATATCCCATGTCCCAGGCCATTTCCAGAAAAGCCCATTCATGTTCACTTATGTATCCCCCCTCCTTCTAGCCTAACAATTCCAAGGGGGTCAAGAATTTCACAGCAGATGGGACACCTCCTGGGGGAGGGCAGAATACGATCATACAAGGACCAGTTTCCTATCCGAAAAATCCCCTGACGATTGCTGGTAATAATTTTCCCTGTGACGGCGTGGACACACCTCCTAAATGACCTTCACAAATTTCCTTCCTAAACCCTAGCACGCTCGTCAACCTGTGTACCAAGCAGTCGCCGCCTGCCTATTCCAGGCTCCTGTGGGTCCCCGCCCCTTCTAGTCTCTCCCAGGGGGGTGATCAGGCCCCCTCTTCCACCCTGCCGGGTGGGTTCCTCCTCACCTGAGAACTCAGTTCCTCTGCTGCCGTCCACTACCTGATAACGGGAAAGGTCCGGGAGTTGAGAAGCAGAATCCTTCCAGAAGGGTGAGGTCCCTTCCCCACTCTAGAAGATTCAAGCTGCAAGGCCTTGGAGTAGTCCCAAATGGGACTTGTCTCCTCCAAGTGAGGAGTTTCCTGGCCAATGCACCAAATGTTATAGTCACATGTTCCGGGAAACAAACTCGCTCAGAAGGACAATGCAGATAGTGGAGTGCAGTTTATTACACTGGTGGGCTCGAGGCAGAGTCTCCTCTTAGCCAGGGACCCCAAACAGCATTTGTGAAAATCTTTTATACCCCATGTGTCTGAACCCACCACCCCAAATTCCTTGAGATTTACATAAACAAAGGAAGGGTAAATATAATCACAATAACCCCATCATTCATGTGTTATGTGTCCAAACAGTTAATAATCAATAAGCCTGTGGTTACATTCCACCCAGTTAATAATCGATTAGCCTGTGGTTACATTCCGATAGATACAGAAAAAATTTATGATCTGTCTGGAGGCAGGGGTGATTAGAGTATGTTTTCTCTAAGGCGATGAGTAACCTGGGTATGATCTTCGAAGTTCCTCTGTCCAGAGGGGGTCTTATCCTTCTTTTGTAGTTCCCATAGACACTAAGCACAGAGTTCAGAGTCCATTGGAAAGGTGGCCGAGCATGATCAGCATGAACAGGCCTGAGATGGAGTCCAGGCCCTATGAATTCCTTCTTCATGGTCACCTGATGCAAACAGCCAACTCATTGGAAAAGTCCCTGATCCTGGGAAAGATTGAGGGCAGAAAGAGAAGAGGGCATCAGAGGATGAGATGGCTGGATGGTATCACCAATGCAATGGACATGAACTTGGGCAAGCTCCAGGAGATGGTGAGGGACAGTGAGGCCTGGCATGCTGCAGTCCATGGAGCTGCAAAGAGTTGGACATGACTGAGTGACTGAACAGCGACAACCTGGATAGTAGTCATCTCTGCCGAGAACTTTGTTCTCTCAATGCCCAATTTTACAGTACTCATCTCTTCTTATTTCCAAAGTGAACCTCTCTTCACAAAGCATTATTGAGTTGTTAAAGTTCTGTTTATTAGATTTCTTTTTCAGAAATTAATTTTATTATTTTCAGTAACTTACCCTTATTGAATCTTTTTGCTTTTCACCATTAAAAGGAATCTGTAGGACGTCGTCTAAAATTTCCAATCACTTTAAGGTATCAATAAGTAGTCATCACCTCAACTAGAGAAAAAGACAAAGGAAAGAAAATGATAAGGAATTTCCTGGAAGTCCAGGGAACACAGAGTCTTAGCCATTGTACCACCAGCAAAGTCCCTGTGTCATTTTGTTTCTGAGTTGTATCACATTTATTGATTTGTGTAATGTGCTATCTTGCATCCCAAGAATAACTTGCACTTGATTGTGGTTTATGATCCTCTAATATGCTGTTGAATTTTGTTTGCTAGTATATATTGTTGAGGATTTTTGCATCTATGTTTATCTGGGTTAAGTGTGTACTTGTGTACTCAGTCGCATCTGGGATATTGGCTGGTAATTTTGTTTTCTTTTAGTTTCCTTGTCTGTCTTTAGTCCAAGGGTCAAGTGAAGTCACTCAGTTGTGTCAGACTCTTTGTGACCCCATGGACTGTAGCCTACCAGGCTCCTCTGTCCATGGGATTTTCCAGCAACAGTACTGGAGTCAGTTGCCATTTCCTTCTCCAAGGGATCTTCCATGCTGGTATTATAAAATGAATTTGAAAGGGTTCCTTCCTCTTTCATCTTTTGGAAGAGATTGGGGGAGGATTGGTATTCATTCATCCCTAAATATTTGGAAGCACTTTCCTATAAATCCATCTTGTCCTCAACTTTTCTTCTTGAGGAGTTTGGATTACTGATTCAATCTTTTCCGCTGTTGATTTTTTAAGGTTTTCTAGTTCTTCATGATTCAGTCTTTATAGCTTGTGTGTTTCAGGACTTTATCCATTTCTTCTGGGTTTCCTAGTCCATGCATGCATGCTAAGTCTCTTCAGTCGTGTCCAACTCTGTGCAATCCAATGGACTGCAGACTGCCAGGTTCCTCTGTCCATGGGATTCGCCAGGCAAGAATACTGGAGTGGGTTCCCATGCCTTACTCTGGGGGATCTTCCCAACCCAGGGATGGAACCCATGTCTCTCACATCTACCTGCACTGGCAGGCAGGTTCTTTTTTTTTTTTTTTTTTTTTTTGAGGTCTCACAGCTAATTTATTGTCACAATTGAAATTAAAATATACATCTTTACTCTTGTATTTCTGAAAGTTGTTAAGAGAGTAAACTCTAAGAGTTCTAATTCTAAGGAAAATATATTTTTTCTATTTCTTTAACTTTGAGAGAATGGCTGTTTACTATACTGTGGTAATAGTTTCATGATGTATATGTCAGATCATTATGCTGCACAGAAATGTATAGTGCTGTATGTCAATCATATCTCAATAAAACTGGAAGAAAAAATAAATTAAAAAATAAAATGCACATCTTCTTAACTCTAAGACTTGTGCTTTTTCAATTAGGCAACACTATTTTAACAGATAATAGCAGGATGAGCAGTAACATATTGCATTATTTTATCTGCAGCTTGAGTAATCCAAATCAAATCTTTTTCTGGAGTCAGATTTCAAAACACTAGTACAGGGAATGCGAGGTTTGTGAATGAAAAGTGGGACAACTCAAGGAATCCTCATACTCTGCATTCTGTAGCCATCAAAAGAAAAAAAAAAAATCCACATTTTTGCCAGCGATGGTTAGCTGCACTTTATGGCCCACTTCATACATATTTAAGGAGGAAGTGATTTTTAAAATGAAGTACTTCGTAAGTTTCAGATTTATTCTCCTGCTTATCTTTTTAGATTTCTCATTTATTTTTTTCTGACATGAATTGAATGTCCTTTACGTACTTCTTCAAAATCATTTTTAGTATATATTTTCAATATAATGCTAACTGCCATTTCTTGTAGCCCTGAACCGGGAGTCAAGAGGCATATGTTCTATTCATCCATCACTGTTGAATACATGACACCAAATCCTCCAAGTGACAAGTAAATAATTGGTTTTAAAGTGTGCTAATATTTTATCCACACTATAGAACAGACTTGTGGACTCTGGGAGAAGGCGAGGGTGGGATGTTTCAAGAGAACAGCATTGGAACACGTATATTATCTAGGGTGAAACAGATCACCAGCCCAGGTTGGGTGCATGAGACAAGTGCTCGGACCTGGTGCACTGGGAAGACCCAGAGGGATCGGGTGGAGAGGGAGGTGGGAGGGGGGACCGGGATGGGGAATACATGTAAATCCATGGCTAATTCATTTCAATGTATGACAAAAACCACTGCAATGATGTAAAGTAATTAGCCTCCAACTAATAAAAATAAATGAAAAAAAATAAATAAAAATAAATACAAAAAAATAAAAAAAAATAAACTATAAGGTCAATTGAAAAAAAAAATAAAGTGTGCTAATATTTTATCCACACTATAACATTTATCTCATTATGTGGGAAATGCTCAACAATTGACAGAGGTTGGCAGGCAGGTTCTTTACCACTAGCCCAATCCATTGTCATATTATTGTTCATAGTAGTTTCTTATAATCCTTAGTATTTCTGTGATATTAATTGTAATGTCTTCTCTTTCATTTGTGTTTTTATTTATTTGAATCCTCTTTTCCTAGTCTAGCTAAGGTTTTGTCAGTTTTGTTTATCTTTTTATAAAGCTAGCTCTTAGTTTCACTGATCTTTTCCATTACCTCTCTAATCTCTATTTCATTGATATTTTTGACCTGATCTTTGTTATTCACTTGTTTCTACTAACTTTGGGCTTAATTTGTTCTTTTC